GTAACATGTTCAACAAAAATATTAATATGTTCAACAAAAATAGTAACATACTTAACAAAAACTGTAACATACTTAACAATAATTATTTTTCTCAAATTCAAAAGCAAAAATTAGTACCATTCAAATACAAAAAAAGTAACATTACCAAAAAAAAAAAATAGTAACATTGAATATTAATATTTAAGAAAATAATAGTAGTAGTATGCTTAACAAAAACAGTAACATGGTCAAAATAATAGTAACATGAACAGTAATATACTCAACCAAAAACAGTAACATAATAAAAAAAATAATAATAACATGAATTTGAATTTTACTATTCAAATTCATAGTAATTGTTTTTTTTTTTTTTTTGTATTTGAATGTTACTATTTTTTATTTTTAATGTTGCTATATATATAAGATAAGAAAAAAATTTTTTAATGTTAGTCAAACTCTTAACCTATATATGGATATAGATAGATATGAGAGAGAAAACATTAACTTCTTTTCAAGGAAATGTATTTTTGAGATAAAAAAAAAAATAGACTTAAATCATTAAATATAATTTTAAAAATGATTTACCCTCTTATAAGTTCTTTGCAGAACTTACCTCCAAACATGTACATCTGGGGAGACTATTTCCAATTTTCACTAAAAAAAAATAGTCTACAGACCATACACCGGCTAAACTCCGGGCTCTGCTCTTCTGGCCCAAGCTCTCTCATTGGGCCATATTTTTGTACTATTCAAATGGTAGTTCATTTATTTTTCATTTTCCATACTTAAAAATTTTAAGTAGAAATGCTAGGCCAAACAGACCCATGGCCCATGAGATCTGGACCAGGCGGGACGGCCTACTCATTGCTGCCACTAGGAATAAAATCGATAAACGAAAGTTTCTAACATAAAATCTAGTACTACTCAAGTTAAATCGGGTCAACTTCCACATAAATGAAAGTTTCTAACATTTTTCATTAATTTGAGTACCACAAGACAAAGTTAAATGGATAAAGAAGATAGTGATCGTCTGCTCGATAATGCTATTGTGTAATTTCAAAGAGTAGTTCAAGTAGTAATAGAGATAAACTGTAAATTTAGACATCCTGATTTTGAATTTTGAGTATCTCCTTGGGGCATGTCATAAGAGATTTATCTCTTATGAAAACCTTAGTTTTAATTTGGATGACTTACTTTTAACCAAATTAGAGAGGGAATTAACCGAGGAGTTTGTAAGTTGACCTAAATATCCCTAACTGTTGAATCACCAAAAAAAAAAAAGAGGATAATGCTACTGTGGAGGTTACCAATGGGAAGGACCTACAATAAATGTTCTTATAGTTAATAAATACTTACATTAAAAAAAAAAAGCCAGTAAATGTGAATGTTACAAAATTCATGGTACTTGACCTATAAAATGGTAGTTTGAGTGATTCTTTACAAGAGTTGTTCGAATCTGTTCACTTTCACCCGATCGTCTGGTACCTTCAAACAATAAAAGAGAAGCGTTTTGACAGGAGATCTGTTCAGAAGCATGGAGAGGAAAGGAGTTAGCACAATGGGTATGTTGTTGCTTGTATTGTTGATGCTTGCTGATAATGTCATGGCAGTGGAGTTTATTACGCATCTATCTTGCAAGGTCAACTGCGAAATAAAATCATATTGTGGCAAAGTTTTTGGGGGAAAGGAGTTTGAGTCGTGCATGCGCCAATGCCAAAGGTGACACTTTGGAGAATGGAAGAACACCCATAAATCATAATAATTTGTGACCAATTTGGCACAATTAGTGCCCTAAACACACCAAAAAATAAATGGGTATTTTATTAAACATTTTCCAAGTGTCTGTGTGTGTGTGTGTGTTTTTTTTTTTTGGGTGGGGGGGGGGGGGGGGGCGGGGGTTTACCATTTATTTGAGAAGAATGTACTTTAGTTGCAAAAATATGTATTTCTTTGAATTCGGAGTCGGAAAAAGGTATAGTACCAAAGTATACAATATTTTGGGCTAAGGTATTTTTGGAGTTTAGTTTACAATCCAAAAATAATATAATTTTTTAGGATCATGTTACAATTTTTATGCTTCAAGTTCCGATTACCACTGTTTGAAGTGTCTTGAATCGATCCTAACATCTTTAGGATCAATAGCAAAATTTCAAAAATTTTATAAATGACTAAAAAATTGTGTATAACGTCTACATCGTAGTACAATATTTAAATTATTTTTTTGGATATAGTAGAATTCTCCCTCTTAGAAAATAGAAAGACTGTTTATTTATTTTTTATTTTTTGGGTTAGAAAAGAATGATTAGTTAAATGAAATCAACTAAAAATGTCCTAATTTAAAATTGCTTTGGAAGAGGATGAGGATTAAGATTGTGAGAAAGCCTGTAAAAGTAAGCACGGCCCAGTAAGCACACGAGCCGAGAAGCCCAATCTTAAAAATAAGGCCCACGCTGGGCTTGAATTAACCTAGCGTAGTCCTGAATAATAATCGTGCTCATGGACTTTTTAACAAAATCGGCCCACGTTTTTCCTATTAACAATAATTCTGTGTTTGACGACATTTTACGATATCAAAATTTTAGCATTAATGGTGCAACATTGATATTTTAAATAATAATTTATTTTTTATTTAATTAATTAATTTAAAATTAAAGTAAAAATAGATAAAATAAGAGAGAAGTGGGGATAAGAGAAGAGAAAGGTAGTTGTGAATTAATAGGGTTGTCTAGTATTTAAAAATGTGTTGGTCGAATTATTTGATGTTGGAGATTGTGAAGAGAAAATGATGTTTTTGAGTGAAAAAAAAAAAAATTGGTTAAATTTTATACTATTAGATCAAATTAAATAAAAATTGGATCAATTTTGACAATTATTTCGCTTTTATAAGTCGAAAACTCAATTTTCTAATTATAATATTAGATAGATCAGCCACAAATGCTACATCTCGATTAAGTATCTATTCAGAAATTTATAATTTGAATTTGGAGATAGTGGCTCTTAATTTTATTTTATTTTATTAAAGGATGACTAAAGACTGTAAAGCTCTTTTGCTGTTTGTAAAACTCCTATTCTCTAAAGCCACGTTGTTTCACACATAAAATAAAAATCGTTTTATATATAAAACAAGAGGAGTGATTTTTCAAAACAATATTATTTTACACAAGGATTAAAATTTTGTTTTAAAACAGTTAAAACGTTCAAAACGTTTCCATTTTCAAGTAGACCGAAAAACGAATTAGTGATAGAATCGAAATTCTAATATTTTGAGGTATTTTATAATGTTTTGAGATATTTTGTAATATTTCAATACATATACATAATTATTTCAAAATATTTTAGGATACTTTTAAATATATATATATATATATATATATATATATATATATATATATATATATATATTGACCAATATTTTAAAAAATAATTCTTAATTTTTTTAATTTTTATTACTATGTTTACGAAATACGTCGAAATATTTTTGTTTCCTAAGATACCGAAATAATATACCAATATATAATTTTGATCTTTAATTTTACACACAAAACGACGTCATTTTGCATATAAAAAAATATCAATTTATAAGAGAAGTTTGTTTTGTCTTCCACTAGTATCAAAAAATTGACCCAAGCTGAAAACAGCTAAGCAAACAAGCGTCTCAAACAAAACAATAATCATCCCCCTAACCAACCAATTCACCCACCTAACCCTCAAGAGTCACAATTGGACCACTTCCACAAACTCCTCATCAGCATTCACACCCAAAATTATCCCCAAAACCAAAAATCTATGTCCATGCTCTCCTTTCATTTGCTGTATTCTTTGACTCAATGATTAATTACGCTTTCTCTCTTAAATTTATTATCATGTTTCTTACGTCTTATCTTAAACTATGATTATTAGTATCACATTGCCCTAATGATTAACGTCTATTCGAAACTTAACGTAAAATTATTTTGTTCTATTCCAGAAATTATGTAATTTTGTTTTATTTCCTTTTTGACATGTTGACATTTTTCATCCAAAAGATAACGTCTATTTAAGTTTTGAACAATGTAACAAAATGTAAGTAATTGTGATAGTTAAAAAGGCAAATGGAGATGAATGTAATAGTTTAAAGGCAAATGGTCATTGGCACTTTTATTTTTTTCTTATTAGGATGAGATCATCTCCGTTATCTAAAATATCACTAACACTTTGATATTTTAGATATTTTTTTAATGAGATCCTATCTATTATTTAAAATATCACTGATATCCCTTATTAAATTAATGATGTTAACTAAAATATAATTTTATTAAATTATCTATGATATATTTTAGAAAAAAAAACTCCATCTATATCTTCTCTAGATAAATATAACTTTAATAAGACTTCCACTGTTTTCTAAACTTATTTTACGCATTAAAATTTGGGTCAATTAAAATTAATTTCAAACTTATTAAAATTTATTTTTTACGTATTAGAATTTGAGCCGATTAAAATTCTATTGGAGTCGATTAAAATTTATTTTTAATCGGCTCAAATTAAATTAAATTTTAACCGACTCTTATTTTGATATATACAAAAAAATATAAATATTAATCGAATCAAATTTTAATCAACTTAAATAGAATTTTAATAAGTAAAAAAAATAAAATTTAATCAGTTAGAATCGAATTTTAATTAACTCAAATTTTAATATGTTAAAAAATAAATTTTAATTGACTTGAATTTTAACTAAATTTTATATAGAAAGATTGTTTGGAGTTTATATAAGAATAATTTTAGTATTTTAGATTAAAAAAAAATTGTTAGAGACCTAGGTTTAACAACGTGGAGTGTTAATAATGTTTTTTATAATAAAAAAGATCTTATTGAAAATATATCTAGAGAATAGATAATAATTAGCTAGTTTAAACTGAAAAAGTGTAATTACCTTGATCATTGGCATGATTCAGGAAAAAAAAATAAAAAAATAAAAGAAAAAGCGTCATCCTTCTTTTTGGCTCCTACAGCCTGTCGGCCTTGTCCCTCGATATTTCTATATCATTGTCACCATTTTCAATATTCAATTCATTTGGGCTTTGTCTGCTTACCTTGATCCTTCCTTTCATCCACCCATTTATAATCTAATAAATTTCTCCCCCATTCTTCAATCTTTTGTACAAATTCCTCTTATCCCATCAAAAATCTGCAAACCCATTACCATAGAGGTTTAATCTTTACTCTCTCTCTCTCTCTCTCTCTCTTCTGTATCCGCAAACCTATTATCATAAAGGTTCAATCTTTGTCCCTCCAATTCTCTCTCTTCCATATCTATTTGGGTTTTGTTAGATTCCATTCAAAGTCGTGGAAATATAAGTATTTTTGCAGATTTAATCTGTAATCACAAAGAAAAGGGTAATAATATGGCAGAAGAACATGGATTTCAAGCCCCCGAAGGTCACCGTTTATGTGCAAATAACTGCGGTTTTTTTGGGAGCTCTGCAACCCAAAATCTTTGTTCCAAATGCTACGGAGACTTCTGCCTGAAAGAAGATCAGAAAAAGTCTGTAAAGACCGCAGTAGAGAATTCTCTCTCTGTATCAGCCTCCTCCGCTGTATCATCGGTTGCGCCACCGTATTCATCGCCGGTGTCGTTGCAGAAAGCTGCCGGTGATGGGCTGGTTTCGGCGGCGGAGGAGGTGGTGGTTGTGCAACCGGTGGCGGCGCAGTTGAACCGGTGCTCGGCGTGCAGGAAAAGGGTCGGGTTGACAGGGTTTAGGTGCAGGTGTGGGACCACGTTTTGTGGGACCCATAGGCACCCAGAGCTTCATGGGTGTACGTTTGATTTCAAGGCCATAGGGAGAGAGGCCATAGAAAAGGCTAATCCTGTGGTCAAAGCAGAGAAGTTGGAGAAGATATGATCTTTACCGTTGGATTTGATGACTTTGTATGTCATGAACGGTGGATAGTATGCTTGTGGTCAACATAGACATGGGGGAGTCGTGTTTAAAAAAAGAAAATGGGTTGTGACTTGTGAATATATTTTTTTTTTCTTTTTAGTTTTTTTCTTTTTAAACAAATCTATGTGGTTGCATGTAAAAAAGGTTCTTATGGTGTTAATAGTATAGATCAAGTTTTATTGTCCACTCTTACTTATATCTTTCAAGAAAAATGATGAATATTTAATACCGTCAAATTTATAACATAAAATGAGATAGACTTCAATAAATTCATCCAACGTTTTTAAATGAACTCATCTAATGATCACTGACATCCTTCTCAAAAATCATTCATATTGAACCGTGTCTTAGAACACGGTTTATCTTTGTAGATTCAAATGATACATCATAACTTCGTTTGTCTTTCTACCCAATTATTTAAATAAAATGTTAAACCATTGAAATGCTAAAAATTTAGTGATAATATATGAACCTAGTTTAGATTTTTTTTTTTTTCTTTCGCTCTATGAGAAAATGAGTTACAAATATGGAGAAATTAAGTAGTTACAAACTATAATTAGTACTGTGACTATTGCTATGACTACTAGTACTATAACTATGGCTATTATCCTCTGCACTTCCATCCAAAACTTTGCTTCTTACTAAGCATGGTAGGTCATTAGTTGCTAACTCTCCATTGAACTTTGTACTCAGACCCCACATGGCGAATTCATGCTCAACTTTATTGGGTTCTCTGTATGTATGAATTATGCTGCTCCTGTCCAAATGTTGCTCCAGTAGCTGCTGTAAATCCTGGATGATAGACAAAATGCTCCACTTGAGCTTGATGTGTTTTTATCAGTACTGCATGCACCCACTAGTTGTGAATCACACTCAATTGTTGTTGGCGTTGGGGAGAATTACGTCTAAATGTTTTGGAATTTGTTACTTAATCACTAAGACATCTTGATATTTAAAATATTACACATAGACCTCCTAAGGTTTGTATCCACGTAACACTTAAACTTCTAATGTAAATATATCTGCTAATAAATTACACTTAAACCTCTCTAAAGTTTAGTTTAAAAAATTATACTTAGATCAAAAATAGAATATCAAATATTTTAAATTTTATAATCAAAATTAATATTCTATTGTATTATATATTGAAATAAAATTAAAATTAAAATTTTAATTTTTTCTTAAAAATCGTAATTAATATACAATTATATTATCTATTAGAATAAAACTAAAAAATCAAATATGGGATCTAAGTCATTCATAAAAGAACATGAATTTTATAACTAAAATTCATGTTCTATTATGTCATTTATTGAAATAAAATCAAAAATAAAAATCTAAAAAAATTATAGTTAGTACATAAGTAATATATACCTATAATCTTCAGAGGGGTTTAAGTGTAATTTATTAACAGATATATTTACATCAGAGGTCTAAGTGTTACGTATGTATAAACCTCAAAGGGTCTGTATGTAATATTTTAAATATCAAAGATCTGAATAATTAAGTGACAAATTTCAGATAAGTTAAATGTAATTCTCTCTTGTTGTTACGTAGCTCCAGTCTTTAGAATTCGCCCAGAGTGTTGCTTCTCTTGCTGCTAAAGCCTCTGCTTTAAGTGGATCCACGTCCTTTTGAATTCAGTTTTCGATCCCAGTATTTGACCTTGACGATTTCTGGCAATAAAACTATACTCCTAATTGGGAATTGTTCATTCTATTAATACTTTTTTGTCCATTTTAACTCCACTTTTAATTCAAAAATATAATTTATAGGAATATTATGTTGAAAACTTTTTAAATGAAATTATATATAGTGAAAATTCAGGGTGAGTCCCCCTAGATAGACTTATAACGACTTGAGTCCTGAAAGAAAACTTATTTGGAGGTAAATCTATATTTAAACTTATATGTAGGTATTTAAATCCACTTATTTTTTAAATCTTAAAATTGCCCCTAACAATGTTAGTTTTTCCTATGTTAGATTATTGAGGTATATATGAAAATCTTTGAATGAGTTATATATGAAAATCTTTTATTAAATATTATGATAATGAATGAAAGTTTTATATGAAAATCATATATTCTGATAGTTATATATGAGAAACTTAATGTACAAATAAATTGTTAGTTTTTTAAGTCAAAATCAGATCACAAAATTTCTTTAACAACAGTAATGCATAATATAGAGAAGTTGATCAATGTCAACAAAGTTCAATAACACGAATGTTAATATATAGTAACATTCATGTTACTAAATGATTGAAGTTACAATTATGGTCGTGGTTAATATATAATAACATTTATGTTATTATATTATTGAAGTTACAATTATGGTCGTGTTATAAGTATAGTCGTAATATTATACTGATACTAATGTTACTACAGTAAATTTTAGCATACAATTGCAAACCTTGAGACATATATTATGTAACAGACATTTTAATATTCACACTAACATCAAAGTTTTGTGCTCAATAACACATCTAATTTTACAAAATACAAGACAATAGTTTTTTTACAGTAACATCAACTTTTGAATGATTTTAGTGAAAATACGATCCACAAATTAAAAATTTACAAAATGACGAATAGTAACACACAATCGACAGTTAAATTATGACACTCAACACCAATTGTAAACATCAAGTTATTGAAATTTTGAACTTCATTTTTCGTTTCACGTACAATAAAATGAACTTTTACAATAGTAACACAACCCAAAAATACTCGATTGTCTTGCGCAACAAAAAAATTAGCAAAATCAAAATTTATAATACTTTAATTTAGTACTAATATATGAGTTCTCTTGAATCTTAGTTACAAGATTAATGCATACTTTGACATAATTAAATTCTTAATTGTTATTATTTTTTTACCATATTACTATTTTTTTGTGAGCATGTTATTATTTTTTTAATGACCATGTTACTGTCTTTGTTAAATATATTACTATTGTTATTTTTTAAAGATTAATATTTAATATTAATATTTTGTCGATGGAGTCCAAAATAAATTGAAATAGTAAATTGAAATTATATTTTATGGAATGTAATGAGTTTGAAATTTGAATATGAACGGTTTTTAGTAAAATGATGGTTTCTTGTTTTTTGGATAAAGAAACATTGTGACTTGGAAGATTGTAACCGGATTTGAAAGTAATTATAAATGAGATGTATATGATTGGTTATTATGTTCATAAATGTCGTTTATAGTATTCCTACAATTAAGGGTTACAATAGTAAAATTGACAAAAAACGAACTTAAAACCAAATAAGAACTTATATCAAAATAAGTCCATAGAGGGAGACCGGCCTCCAAATTTCTCTTATATATATACAAACAAGGCCACCTAATGACTGGCGGGTTGGGCCCATACCCGAAGCCCGACTAGACCAATAATTCGTCTGGATAAGAGATTGGACCTACCCTTACTAGGCCCGGCCTGAAAAGAAATTTGTGGGCTTAACCCGGCCCATGAACACCCTAATTAAAAGTAAGGAGCGAATCTAGCACTAAATTTTCTTCCACTAACTATAGTACACCTCAAAATGGTAGTTTTTCGGGAAGAAAGAAACAATTATCTCCATTTTCCTTGATAAAGTCAGAGTTCATGTGGAAATGAACTTCAACCAAAGACTTAATGCTTGTCCCTTCCTTAAAAAAATAAAACACCTATCCACAAACTACAGCTCCATGAAACAAGCTCAACATAACTGGTTGATGGATATAAATATATGAAAAAATTTGAACAACATTAATAAGGTTGAGCTGCCCAATCAGTAAGTTTAGACCACTGTCTCTGTTGGCAAGGTAGATATCTTTAAGCTATGATGGATCTTTATACTTTGAATGAGAAATCAGACTTAAAAAAATAGGTGTTCATGAGTTTCAGTATCATGATTTGTGTATGCTTGAATCCTATCCTTGGTGCTTAGTGTCATCTTGATGGCTAACCAAATTATGAATGCATCTTAGGTAAGCCTTCCCAAACCATACTAGCTTATGCCAAGATACTACTACAATTGCATCCCTGTGATCCCATGCTGATTTAGTTGAATATTTACCATTTACAGTCAGAGACCACCCCTCACAACATCATTCCTAGGCTGATTACGTGGGTAGGATGGCATTGGATTAAAACTATCATGCATTTCTGGCGAAGAATCTGTAATGTAGTGCCATTGGGTTTTTCGCTATTAATCTATTAACTATTGCCACTCTTGACATTCCTGCTTCTTGGAGAACTCTTGCTTGAAGGCCCATAAGGGTGCCAATTAATATGCCAAAATCTAGTATTTTCCCCATTCTCCACTATATGCACCATCATAGCTCTTAACACTTCTCTAAGTTTCAATAGGATCGTCCAATTCCAAGAACATGGTTGTGGTGTTTTAAGCTCCCATAGGTTCTTTTCATTGATGTAAAACACATAAATCCCTTGACATCATGGATTCTCCTTATTATTGACCAGCTGCCATAAGAGTTTTAGCATTAATGCATCATTCCATGCTTTGAGGCCCTTGATTCCAAGCCTACCATCTCTTTTAATTGGGTTTGCATACTTCCTCCCAAGAGATTTTTGCTGCTGTATGTCTAAGTTTATTTCCATTTCATATAAAGGACCTCATAGGTTGATCAAGCCTATCCAGTAACTATTTTGCAGTTTAACCTCAACTTGTACAATCCTTGTTATTGGTCAATTCAGAATGGAGTGTAAGTTACCCACAGATGCAAGTCATCCATGAGGCCAGGGTGGGCTCAGACCATTGACTTATAATCATAAATATGGAGTCAAGTCTGACAAAGAGCCCATATTCTTTCAAATTTGAAACATTGGGGATGGAGGATGTAAAATGTGAGGAGATTGTTAAAAAAAGCTGGGAGGAAATGTTGAATGGATCTACGATGTTCACTATGACAAAAAGGTTGGAAAAGTGTGGCAAGGAGCTCAAAAGCTAGATTAGGCAAAATTTTAGAAATGATAGAAAGATTATGTCAGAGTTAAATTCCAAATTAATTAACTTGCAAATGATAGAAGATTCAGAGGAAAATCTAAGGAAGGAAGCTGAGATATGTGTTGAGATTGACAGTATAAGTAGAAGAGAACAAAAATTTTAGAAACAAAGATTAAGTATTAATTGGCTGAGATCTGAAGATCAAAACACAAGATTTTTCCAT